ACATGTTAGCTGATCGTGTGTAGTTATCCTGCCAGCTCTCTGCATATAGCTGGCCAACCATAACATAACAGCCCGAACAATTATGATGCTTTGGGCGGTATCTGGGGTCTAAGTATTGGGAGTCAGACACTGAATTCTATGGCAAACGGACGCTTTGGTATAGGAACAACAACGCCTGCAGCAACTTTCGATATCGTGGGTAGTCTGAAAGCATCTACAGATGCCACGATCGGGGGGACGTTGACCGCTACCGCCTTGTCAGGAAACCACAGCAACAACACCGTCTTTTGTGGACTCATTGGTGTCGGGAACAGCAGCCCCGCTAACTCGCTGGACATCATAGACTCTAACAGTTCAATCATAAGTCTGGTGGAGTACAATTCAGTCGACGGAGCTGTGCTAAGGTGCAAAAGAGCGAGAAGACTACCGTCAGCACCCTCTAACCTTTCCAATAACGACGTCATCACGGGTCTGAGAAGATTTGGTTATGGGAGCAACGTTGGCTTTGTCCGAAACGTGGGGATCGACATGCTAGCGGCAGAGAATCAGCTGCTAGGTTCTAACGGGACTTACATAATATTCCAAACAACAGCTTGCAACACGAGCACTTTGACAGAAAAAATGAGACTGACAGACGCTGGGCGTGTAGGAAATGGCACTACAAACCCTGCTTCGGCTCTGGACGTGAGCGGGACAATCACCGCTACCACCCTGCAAGGCTCGTTGGCGTGGTCTTACCTCACTGGAACGCCCGCTCTTCTTTCCAACACATCGAGTCTTCCTTTCACAAGCCTGACATCAGTGCCTGCCTTATGCTCGAACAACGGAGGTATTTTGACGCTTTCTGGGACTTCAACCTATCTAGACATAATAGGGACAGGAGGAGAGACCCGTGTTTACTGTCACAGCGACGGCGTTTCATACTTCCAGCATCAAAACAACCTTATCTTCTCGACCATCGGTGGGATTACTCCTCAAGTTGTAATGTCAAATAACGGTTCAATGTCTATAGCATCAAACCTTAGCGTGGGCAGCAATCTCGGCATCGGAAAAACTCCTGCTTACCCTCTCGACGTAAACGGGACTGCTGTTGCGACCACATTCGCGGGTAACCTTGCGTAGGGCTATCTTTCATCCGTGCCTTCCGGCTTACTCTCTAACAACGGTGCTATAAACACAGCAACCGTTTCCAATCTTACGATTGCCACTTCGCTTTCGAATTCTGGAAACTTAGTGCAGAAAAACACGACTGACTTCAGTATGTCAGGGGGGGCGCATCAGTGGGCATACTCAGCAGCCGACACAAGTCCTATGTATCAACAGCTAAATTGGGGTCATAACAACATTTCATTGAACTTCGACTCCTACTACAACAACAATTGGTTTTCATCCTCAGGCACAGGTTCGTATCAGATATATAAGGTGCAGAATCAACTGCAATTTAACTATGCTACGTACTCTAACACCAGCAACATATCAACTTGGAATTCCGGATTGACCTTAGACCTCTCTGGAAATGTCTCGGTAAATAACGATGTCTTCACAACTTCAAACGAGATAAGAGCTGTCGGCAATAACACTTGTCAACTTCGCTGGACTAATCCGCTTCTTGGCGGCAGCTCGTGGATGTACCGATGGGACTCGAGCCAACTTTATCTACTATTTACTGGATTTTCGAATGCCAATGGATCATGGAATTCTATCCGCCCTACTTGGTATAACACAAGCGGAGACGTATTCCACGCGAACGGTCAAGTTTCGATAGCCCACACGACAGGATATGTGTCAGCCCCTCAGTTTGTCGGTGCGGCAGAGTGGTCGAACCTCTTGAACGTTCCGGCAAGTCTCGCAAGTAATGCGTCGGCACTCACCAGCCTTACCGTCTCCAATCTTGTCTGTTCGAATATAGGAATCAATCTCACGAATCCAGTATACGCTCTCGATATTGCTGGGTCGATCTACGTTAGACCTCCGACAGGTCTGACCTTTGCTAGTCAGACGATCGGGCAATCGACTTTAGCTATAGGAGGAAATATCGATCTGGTTGGGTCTAACTCCGCGTACACGAGACTCGCCTCTCTAGGATTCGATGGGACGTCCGTTCTCACGCACTCCAATGCATTCCACATCTGCAGTCCTGGAACAACTCAATATCAGTTCTCTGTTCTGACTGATGGGAAAGTGGGTATCTCAAATACAAGTCGTCAAGAGAGGCTTCACGTTTCGAGCGGAAACATTAAGAGTGATAGCAATGTCTATGTAATGAGGCGGCTCGGAATCATGACGAGCAACCCGAGTTATTGTCTGGACGTTGGTTCAAACAGCATATTCAGAGGGCAGACTCAATTAAACTACTCGGTAGATACCACTACGTTTCTTCAAGGTGCAATCCAAGTATTTAGTACACAAAATACATGGGCGGGCATGATAGAATCCTCGTATGGAGTGAATGATCGATACTGCTTTGGTCAAGGTGCTAACGGAACTACTTTCATTGCTACAAGCGGATCGTATGCTCCGTCAACGATCAAATTTGGAGTAACTAATGACTCAAACACCACAAATGGGTTTTTACCGTTTACCACAATGGATCATTACGGCGGCTGGACGTATAATGATAGCAATCAGTTAAACTACGCAAAGATAAACAGTAATTACGTCGCATTTGGATCCTCCACTGTAAGCGGAGTGACGGCCTGTAATTTGGGTGTGGGAAGTTTCATGCGAACTAGCCCCTACACGGCTACGTCTGCTCTGAACTACACTATCCCGTGGTCAGAGCTGGTTGGAACTTCAAGTAATTGCTGTCTTGATCTGACTATCTTCTACAAGAATAATACCATCAACAGTCCAAGCACTATGACGACGTCGGTGCTAGCTAAGTACTCAATAGTGAAAGGATACGGAGGGACAGCTACCATGTCTCAATATCATCTAGCCGCTGTCGGTAACGGCACACTGACTTCGGCTGCGGTCGTGTCCGGAAACCTGTCTTTTAACTTTACTTGTAACGGCTGGGTCTCTTACCACTGCACAGGATTTGCTTAACCCGGGAAAAGAATCTCCTCTTACCTTAATGAAATCCTTCGAAGAGTGTTGCGAGGAGTGTCAAGAGCAGAATCCCTTCTTTCGCCTCGGTGGTAATGTAGTGGGTAAGTTCGCCTACACGAGAGACACACCGTTCATTCAGCCCTTCGAAAGCATCGAGAGCCCTTGGACGGACTACATTAAGAGCGACAGCCTCGAGACAAACATAAAGAAGTTGTATAAGTTGGCTCAGAAGTATTCGAAAAGCCAGACTGAGAAAGACAAGAAGGCGGAGGAGGAATCACCGGGAGAGGAAGAGGAAGAGGAAGTTAAGCCAAAGCCAAAAGCAACCGCAAGGAAAGAGAAAGCAAGCGCAAAAGCAGCCGCACCGAGGCCAAAAGCTAAAGGAAAAGAAAAAGTGATCAATTTAGACGAGTCTGATGAGGAAAAGGAAGAGACGCAAAAGACGCAAGGTATGCTTACAAGAGCACAATTTGAAGTTCTTCAAAGTAGGTGGAAATCTATCAACGCATCTAACCGACTTACTAGGGTTGAAAAGCAAGAGCTTGTGGTGATGGCTGCAAAGTTGGGTGTACTAACAGAAAGCAAGAAAGGATTTCGAAATGTAGATCGACACCTCTACAAAAAATTGAATGACAAGTTTGGCACAAACTTCTCGCCAAAGAAATCAGGTATGCGAATGAAGAGGTGAAATCAACGGCTAAATAATTATCTGAACCCAAATTATAAAGCATGTCGTATCCTTCCGTCCTTAAGTACTATCTTGAGAAGCTCGACAACGTTTCTAGGAATACTTTCCTCCTGTACCCCCAGACGCCTCAAACGGCTTATGCTGGGGACACGATCTCCATTACCCTTCCTGAGAACAGCATCGTGAACCTGGATGCTTTCACGCTGTATGCTGGCCTGAACACACCCATTGGAACATGCCCACCAAGGCACGTCGAGTCTTTGATTGATCAGGTCACGGTGCTCGTGAACGGTATTGCTGTTGCTCCCGGAGCTCAAATGACCAACTTCCTGTCGACCGCTCTCATCGATTGGTATGGTGCTGACAAGATCGCTCAGAGGCAGGTGATGCAGTTGGGCGGCGATGTCACCGCTCCTCCAGATGCGACTCACCCTGTAGCAGCAACGGGACAAAACGCCTTGCCGATTGCAATCTCTCACTTCCTTGGATTCCTGTCCAGCGCGCAACCCAGGTATTTGGACACTTCTATCCTTGGAAGCGTCCGCCTGCAGATAAAATTGGCTAGTCAGGCTGTCCTCCCCACATATACTGGAATAGCTGGTGCATGGTATTTGACTGCTATTCAGGCTCTTTGCCAAGTGGTCAGCATTGATGATGGCTCTTACTCTCAGATTGTGCAGCAGAGGCTGAGCAACGGAGGGGTTAAGATCCCCTTCAAGTATTACTTGAACTTCCAGGGCAACGCCGGTACTGCTGCGCAGAACCTGAGAATGACCGTCAGCTCTCAAAGCGTCGACGGTATCTGGGCTACCTTCCAGGACTCGGGCACTTACACCACAAATGCTACCGATGCGGTTCTCCGCAACACTGCTTACTTCACGAGGAAGGGCACGAACGTGACGGACTCCGTCTTCTCAGTGAATGGAGTCCGCTTCCCATCCCTCCCCCTTACACCCAGTCAGATCTGGATGGAGAATTTGCACAACATGGGTCTGTCTGCGGACATTGTTGGTGCGATGGACACCTCCCTGAACTCCCTGACAAAGTTCACCCAAAACGGTTTCTTCCACTATTTCAAGTTCAACGTGGACAACGATGAGAGCACGGCCAGGCTCAGCTCTGGACTGGACACCCGTGGTTCGGCTTCCACGATCACCTGGCAGACGACTGGTGGGGGCTCTAGTACCTACCTGCCGACGGTCTTCGTGGAGTGCACGGGAATTATGGAGGTGGGTCCGAATAGACAGGTCTCGGTGGTCTGGTAAACAGTTTGATTTTTATTGTGTTTCTAATGTATAAAGAATGGCAGTCGCGTTTAAGACCCCCCTGGCTAACATGTTCCCTGAGAAGCTGAAGCCTAGTGAGCAGCCCCAAACAGCCCCCAAAAGTAATCGCAACCTTCCGAAAGTCGTTCGCATGCCCGTGGAAACAGATTATGACGAGCTAGCACAACCCGAAGACAAGCTGGCATGGAATCTGCCGTGCAAGACTGATCTATATGGCAACTCGCTAACCATGATCGACCAAAAGAAAAACATAGCTCCTGCAAACAAGATTGGCTATAAGGAGCTTCCTGACCTGAGCCTTCCAGATCTTACGCAGACGAACGTGAGCGGATTCACCTGCTTGACTGGCTCGACGGCTGCCCAGCGTGGGGAGAAGCTTATTGTCAATGTTCCTCCTGTGGAGAAGCGCTGGAACACCCAGATTTAACTTATATATTCACCCTTCAGAAGCTCTCCCTCGCAAAACCTGTCAGAAAGAACAGAGAATACAGTCATTTTTTTTTCTTTATTGAATGTAGATGTCTGACACGTCTATAGAGCCCATCGAAGAGGTTGCGGAAACCGTCGAAGAAACAGTGGAAGCTCCCGCCGCAGCCGCGACAGGGAAGGTTAAGAAGCCCTGCAGCCCAGAAAAGCTAAAGCAGATGGCTTTAATGCGCGAGAAAGCCAAGCTAAAAAAACAAGCAATGAAGGAACTTACCGAGAAGGAAAAAGCCCTAAAGCAGAAAACATTCGAAGAGCGAGTTAAGAAGGTGCAAGCTTTGGAGAAGGCATTTGAACCTGAACCTAAACCTAAACCTAAACCTGAACCAAAGGCACCCGAGCCTGCGCCTTTAGAGGAATCTGAGGCAGAAGTTGAGGTGGTCAAAGTTAAAAAAGTAAAGAAACCTAAAAAGGTTAAGAAGGTCATTTATGAGTCTGATTCAGATTCGTCTGCATCTTCCGAGAGCGACGATGATGCTCCATATGTTCAGCGCAAGCAAAAAAGAAGATTTCAGAAGACTGTCCGAAAGGAGGTAGCCAAGGAGATGGCTAAGTTAACTGCTGCCAGACCAACACAACGAGACATTATGCAGGTTGCTGCTCGTGACGAACTTAACTCGAAGGTTTCGAAGGCGATGCGGGAGATGGCGATGCGATCGGTGTTTCCTGAATAGTTTCGAGCAAAATCTTGTTATCCCAACATTGCCTGAACATTCTATTTCTATCTTTTGAATCGTAATCCACAAACAGAAAGTCGTGAGGCTTCTGGCAGGCTTGCGTCCAGGCTTCCAATACCTCCTCGGCGGTTGCTTTGGATGCCAATTCTTCCGCAATCGACTCCTTGAGTTTATCGGATTTCGTATCGAAAAGTACCCAGCAGCTGACATTTCCCCGGACACCTCTAGGGATACCGTTGGTTAACACCTGACTTGCCATGATAACAGTGCAAGAGTGATGCCTGTGCAGAAGGATAAAGTTCACAAAAGCCCCACGCATGGTTTGGCTGAACATCTTCTTGTCTGCCACACAATCATCTACCACTACACAGAAAGATGGGAAGCCATGCTTGTAGATTGTTTTGGGTGCTTCGAAGTCAAGGCCATACAGCAAAGCTATGTCATCATTGCTCAGCGAATCTATGTTCTTGCATTTCAGGAAGCGCTTCCATGCCTCCAATTCCTTCAAATACTTTTTGTATTCATCGACCTCGTGTACCATGTAGGCCATGATGTCTTTAAACCCTTCCTCTTTATACCCTGGAATCACTTCGATACATAAAGTTGCGAGGCTCCTCCGTCAAGCAAGCCGTCTTGGGGTCTCTGGTAAAGGTAGGAGAAATAACGAAGACCTTGTCATAAGACTTTGCTGCGTCATACATAAGAAGCCACTCACATATCCTTGTCGTTTTGCCTTGGCCACGAGAGCCAACCAGCGCCACCAGCGGGTGAAGGGCAGGCATGTACTCAGGCACTTTGCGGTCTCCATACGGCAGCTTGTTGTTCTTGATGTCCACCTTGGAGATAGGAAGTCGTTCCGTCTTCATTTTTATTATATCAGCACATATAAAATGGTAGCAGACAAGGTCAAAGAAGAGTGGATTAGTGCTATGTGCCGGGATCATCCTAGGCTTCCTTGAAGGTTTGTGGTAGAGGAGCTGGCAGAACCTATGCGTTAGATGACGGGGAATGGTTGCGAGAGAACAAGAAGAAGGGTGAGAAGTTTTCAAGGAAGCAGGCAAAGAAGAGCAAGGGAAAAGAGATGGTGGCAGAGCAAGACCCAGACAGGTTCAAGATTGTGGGCGCGATCGAGGTGGAGGCAGCTTCCGAACAGGAGCTAAGTGATGACTTTGAAAAGGTGTCGATAGAGGAGATCACTGAAGATTAAAATGTCTGATTAACTTAAAATGAATGTGAACTTTGCTGCCTGAGGTCTTTCTGCCCCTCATCAGCCCTCACCTTACCCTTTCCAGAATGTGAACCAGAGCAAGCCTTATGACAGGATGTACAGAATTATCTTATCATCACTTGATGCCGATGAAAACAACACAAGAATACAACAAGAAGAGGAAGGAAACGGTGAAGTAATTAATACCGAAGGAGTCACTCATGTGTTTAGAAACGTGAACATCCCTTTTGACGAGATTAAGGGAAATTGTCGGTTGTTTGTATCAAGTTTCCACTTCAACGACAACGGAACAACTTACAACTATCCATATTATGTTGACATTGAAGAAATTGCACAATCCCTTTCGTATAATTCAAGAACTAAAGGAATGTCTAAAACAGTCTTAGTAAGCCGTAGCTATTCTTATTCTAATGGCAATCCAGATTATGGTGTTTCCGTGCAAGATCTTAGCCTGTTCAGAAATAGAACATTGTCAGTCACTGTTAGCTGCCCTTATCAGGTAGCAACATTGCCCACTGACTGGGTTCTCACCCTCGGGATCATCCAGACCGAATGAAAATCTCCCTTTAGACTAAATGAGTGACCTGAATGTGCTCATCAACAGTCAATATTTGTTTTTAAGGTCAGCACAAACCAACTCTTATGATTCTGTGTTTGAATTTGATACAGATGTGATGACAGCAATGCCTGAGCACCAAATGAGCTTAACAGTCGTGGATTTCACAATGCAGATCCAATATTATGTGGTTAATAGCCTGAACAACCGACTCACCTTTACAGATGTTGCATCAAGCTCGTCCAGCAGCACCATCACAGTCCCTCCAGGAAACTACAGCTATAGGGATCTCTGCCTTGCTGTGAGCCGTCTGTACACCCCGGGCTGACTTGCACATATGACAACCATGCCAACAAAGCTGTCTTCAAGTTTGCAACCCCCCATGTCATCTCCTTTACGGACAACAGCTACCAGACCTTTGGATTTGAGAGCACAGACGTACCCTCTGGAACAACCATTACCAGCACAAACCAGCTGGACTTGAAGGGAGGGGTCAATCAACTTGTGCTGCATGCTGCTTGGGTCTCTACCACTGCTTGCTGGAACGTAGACAACTTCAGCTCAGACGAAAACCCCAAGTGCAAGCCCTCTGATGTGCTAGCGGTTATCCCTTTTGACACAGCCCCGTTCACTGTCCTGCACTGGCAGAACCCTGGCAACCAATTTGAAATGTCTTTAAATGAGCGCAACATAAGCAGGCTGCAGATCACTATCAAAGACATATACGGCAACGACATAACCTATCTGAACCCTTACACCATCACTTTTTTGGTAAGGATTTACAAGAAGAATGTTCAAGATGGGCAGAATCGAACTGTGGGTATCCTAAGTGAAATTCTCGATTACACAAAGCTCTCCTTAATCAGATCAGTCGCAGATTTAAATTCTCCAGATAGTTTATAAAACATGGGACTTTTCTCGCGTATAGGCTCATCTGTTCTCAAAGGTGTTCACTCAGCAGGCAAGATTATCCGTCGCATCGGTGACGTGTCATCCAACGTGGCTAGAACCCTACACGGATCTGCACCACTCATTCACGGGCTTTCATCGGCTATCGGCGCGAACTTCGGTGCGGCGGGTGAGCACGCGGCCGCTAAGTTCAACAGACACTTTGACAGGGGTGTTTCGATCGGACAGCTTGTAGGGAATCGGGCGTCCGTTGCAGGTAGTTTACTGAGTCCGTAATTCTGACCAATCATCATTTTTTTGAAATCTAACAATCTGTTAAGTTCTAGGGAAGGGACAAAAGCGGGAAGGGTAATTTTAGTGGGAAGGGTAATTTCTGAAAAAAAACAGGACTTATCATTTCGACATCTTCCTTCCCCAATTCAAAATTCTTAGTTTCAAATGATTTTCTTGTAGACTACTTTCAGTCTATGATTATTCTATATATTTCTATTATTTATGTAAAAAGTGAGAAGGGAAGGGAAATGGGAAGCGGGAAGGGTGGGAAGGGTGGTTTTATATATAAAAAAAAAGAGAGGGGGTGATTAAAAAATAAAGTTTGTGAAATCACCCTTCCCACCCTTCCCACGCTGGAATCACCCCATTTCTAAGAAATTACCCTTCCCATTAAAATTACCCTTCCCACCCTTTTCAGGGGGCACTTGAACAATTTGAGCCAATGATTTACAGACTGATTCCAGTCTAGAAGAAAAAAAGTATTTATGCAAGGGGGTCATCGGCCTCTTCAATGAACTCAACCGACTCTTCCCTCAGAACAATTCCGTGATATACCACATTATTGTGGAATTCCCCCCTCTTAGTGATTTTTTCCGCAGTGTGGTTATTGGCGACCATCGCCTCCTTAAATTGCAGCTGATTCATGCCAGCGTAGTAATGACTAGACTTGAATGCCTGGTACAGATCGCCTGACTTGATGATGTCATCACTGCTGTTCGTGACGTCACACTACTCTGACAGAAACCCACCAACCACGTTGTTCGAATCCATATAAGATTTGGTGTACTCGGTGACTGCCTTAGGCGTTTTGGCCTTCCCCTTGATTTTAATTTCGACATGTGCCTCGATAAGCATCCGCATAAATTCCTCGCGGATCGCCTCGTCGTCGGAGATCTTATTTTTTAGATTTTCGTCGCCATGGCGCTCGTTAGGTTTGGTCGGGTTAGCAACAAACTGATATTTGTGCTCAATCAGTCTGAGCCTTCCAACCATACCCTCGTCATAACTGTCGAGTGCCGATTTATTATTCATCTGGAAAACAAGGACAAATTGAGCCAAATATTCGAAGAACTGCTTGTATAAGTGCCTGGCTTGGATAGGGTCTCGGCCAGACTTTTTCTTGAGCTCGGAGGTGTTGAACTTGTCCCCAGGGGCTGGCTCGGTCATCGCCCAGAGCCTTTTCCCCTGACCCTTGGCAATCTCACTGTTGGCCGCACTACTGCTCTTCTTGGAGCCTGTAAAAATGCTCACATCGGGGCAGTAGCAATAGTCCCCGAGGGCCTTCATGAAGAGGTATAGCATAATACCCTTGCCGTTTCCTCCCTTCCCGACCCAGAAGTGGATGATCTCCTCAGTCTTCGATCCGTGCAACGTGTACGCACCAAATTGAAGCATGTACTTGATCATCTCGTCCGTACCGTAGATATCCTTCAGCAGGTCAAGAAGCATCGTCCGAACTTTTAGGTTAACTTGAGGGGTATAGTTACTGCCAGTACTGAGGGTTAAGAAGTCGCTGGGCCTACCAGCCCTGAATTCCATTGCATCAAGATCGTAAACCCCGTTCTCAAACCCTAAAAGGTGCGGCGATTCGTCCAACTTGCTTGTAAACTCCTTGTCGGACATATAGAAGATGTCCGCGCACTCCTTCATGATCGCACCCTTAAATGTGTTGTTCTTCAGACGCCGTCCGATCTTCCGATAGAGTGTGCTCAGGCTGCTGTCGTCCTTTTCTTCGTCATCATCCGAGTCTTCTACGTCAGCCTGCGCCTTTTTGCTGCACTCCTTGGACATAGTGACAAACGCCTTGTACACGTCGGTTGAAAGCTTGTTACGCAAATCCACCCCGCCAACACACTCTTCCCACCTGTGCCCGCTAAACTTGTACCAAGTCGGGTTGTTCTTCTGGTCCTTGGTGCTGACGTAGTCAAACTTGAACATGGAGTATACGACCTGTGCCACGTCATAATGACTGCCAGACAATGACGTCAAGAGAGCCGTCTGCATACTGGTCTCGTTGTACTTCTTGTACAGCCCAGGGTTGTCTAGTTTAGCCCAGTAGTGCAGACTGCGAATGGTATTGCCCGGTTTGAAGTCGTACCACAGCTTCTCACATTCGCCGGCCTGGTACTTCGAAGATAGTTGGCTGAATGTATCCCAGACTGGCAGCAGACCCTCGTCGACACTGTGCAGGCTTGAACCGAGTGCAATCCAGTCGCTCCGGTTGTCCGCCCTGGCTGGGGATAGCATAGCAATCAACTGCTCCACCTCACCAAGAAGTACTATGTTGCACTTAGGTTGTACAACCTTGGTTGGTGCGGCCTCGGCCTTAGCCTTTCTTTTCTCGACAAATTCGGCAACTTCCGCCTTTTTCTCCTCTAGTACAGGTAGGGCGACATCTTTGTTTCGAATCGAAAGGCGCTCAGTCAGATCAGCTAGTGAGTCTTCACATTCTTCTTGTTCACCCTCTTCGCCCCACAACTTGTACGTGCAAGTGTACGCAGGACCTGTACCATCTTTAGTACTGCCGTACAAGAGCAGCGGGTTCTTATCGATAACCGCCGAGTCGTACACGTCCTCGAAACTGTTGCGGAACTTCACGTCAGCGAAAATTCCGGAGATGGTACCAGATTCCAACAGTCTCGTACGGATCATGTGCTGGACACAATGGCACGTGACGAGGTCGGGGAAGTGCAGGTGGAAACCGTCTTTATACGGGTGGTTCTTGTCAGGCCTCGGGGCAGCCTTTTCGAGCACGAAACACTCCAAGGCATCCTCGTCAAACCAGACGTAATTAGAGGCTTCCTTGATGACGGCGTCATAGAGTCCCTTGATATGAGCGGCTGTGTAAATACGATCACTCGAGTCTTGCTTGAAATCGAAATCGATAAAGATTGGGGACTGATCCTTGTGCTTTTCAGTTAGCGACAGGTGGATCTTCTTCTTGAGTGCCGCGTTGTACAGTGCCATGAATTCGTCATAGTGCTCGGTCTTGATATAGTACTTACCTTTGAAGTCACCAGCACAACCAGTGTGCGAGTACTCCGACTCTTTGTCCATTTTGCGGGGAGCGAGGAAGTTAAGAAGGTTTTGTTTTGCTGCCATTTTATAATACCTGGCGACATTTGTTTAAGTAGTTTTCACTTTGCGTTAAAATGAAACTAAAAATGACTTCAACATTTACATCGAAAACTTGAGTTCCAGATAGTTAAGCGCTAACTGGACGTTAGGCGTGGTCGGACAGATGGTTTGGACAGCCCAAGCAGCATACCCTTGGTCGATTTCGTACACAAACCTACCCTTATACTTGGTTCCCATGGGCCAAATGCAGTTAGAAAGCCTCAATTTGGACGTCTCTCGGACGCACGTCAAACTCGTCCGGATTCGTTGACCTGATGTACCGTGAGATATCAAAATTCCTGCCACGTGGCGCAATCGTAGGTGCGGAAATCTCCCGCATCCGACGGCCATAATCATAGCGACAGTCCTTGCAGTATCCTACGTGGCTCTTGCGCTGTTTCTCGCCACACTCGTTACAGCGGTGGCCTTCCCGCTTTTCACGGCAGATCCTGCAATAGTTGTCCTTCCGATTTTTGTGCGGCATGCGGCAATCTGCACAGGTCTTTCCCTGATTGTCAGGAGGCAAGAATCGTAAGATGCAGCAATTCCCGACCACGAACAGCTTGGGTGGGCTACACCGTCGATCGTTAGGCATGTACTCCACGTAGCAGTTCTCCTTGATCCAGTGGGTGCATTCACTGTGACGGTTGG